TTTTTTTTTGATAGCTTTAGCCATTTCTGGATGCATTCGTGATTTTCTCGCCGGATGGCTTACGATTTACCACAACTCGGTTGGGCGGTGGGCCCAGGGCACCGCTTACTTATGTATCCCGGTCACACACTAGTCATACGAGAGGAGCGAATATAACACGCAGATAAATTTGGCCTGTGTCATTAAAGCATTCGTGGGGATGTTGCCATGGAGTTTGGCTGTCCCTATACTTAAGCAGAGCTTGGTGTGCGTTGGTTTTGCCGACCCCTAGACCTCTCTTAGCGATGGCTGGAGCCCGCAACGAGCGTGGGTGGAGCTTTGGCAACTCCCGGGATGAAGGTACAGTGCTCCGAGACAACATGCTTCGAGACAACCGACTTCAATTGGCGTCATTACAAGGTGTTCATCGTGAGCCCCGGGCTCACACGGAGAGAGAGACTTGCAGGCAGCACTTGTCTTGAGCTTCAGTGTCCGCTTTCCACATTAGGAATCCGAGAAATCGCCGAACTATGATTTTTATTCAAAAGCTGATATTAATTGAAGTGCGTGGGGTTCTTTTTTTCTCCTTGAGGAAAACGGAAATTACACGCTCGTGAGATTCAGCTCTTTCATGCCAATACGTTGACGGCCTGCGAACCGGTGCTGGCTCAAATAGTAGGACATGCTTCCGAGCATTCGGAGGCATGGTCGTGCATGATTACTCAGAAAGAACATTGTAATTCATGATTCGTGAAAGATGTGCGCAAGCGGTATAATGGCTGTCAAATTTGAGCAGAGAAATCCTCAATGTGATTGCAAAACTGAGTTCTCGACACTCGATTTTCACTTTCTTTTTAGTTTGATGCCAGTCAAGGTCGTATCCGAAGCGCGATGCAAACATCCTCCCACTGAAGTACTTGTGTGGGTGGCCTGCTGCATACGGACCTTTCATCGTCCCAAGCACGCACCGGGTCTTGGTCACCTACTCATCAGCCGTCTTCAAGCTTCGTTTGTAACAGCCACTTACGATCATGCACAAACGGTCAGCCTCTTTGACAGGCCCACCGCCTTGGTTCCATCACGCTAGGCGACGAACCCAAACCACATGCAAAGCAACGTGGTCGCGAATCATCGAGTTGAGTTGAATCTGGCTCGGCAACATGATCCCGCTTTGTGTGTTTCTGTACAAAGTCCACTTGATGCATTCACTGGCAGCTGTGCACGAATCGGATGTGAGTGTGTCACAATGCACTCAACCATGCTGTTAGGTGCAGGTCTCGGGCTCTGTTCATGGTTCTGGTCACTTGGGCGCCGCTTGCAAAAGGTAAGGTCCGTGTCATTCATAACAGAAAGAGCTGCTACAGCCGGGATGTGAATGGCGACTGACGCTGAGCGTGGTGCGAATTGAGCGTCGCTACAGGTACGCGGCTGATCTTTGTCTGGCTAGTGGCGCTCGACCAGCTGGCTGTACGGCAGAGCAAAGCAGGTGCGATCTCGAACTGCTGTGATGCCGGTGGCGGTTGTGGGGCGGTGCAAGGGTCGTCGGATGCCGAGGTGTGCATGCATTCGCTCATGTTGGTCGAGTCAGGCGGCGAGATGGGCCTGTCGTTGAGCAGGAACTTGGGTGGAGGTGGCATCGGCGACGACCGTGGTGTTGCCCTGCAGCGTGACTCGCTCGCACAGCTCGCATCACCACAAGGCTCGAGTCGATCTGCAGGCGATCCAAAGGGCGATAGCAATGCCATGTCGCCTCGCGATCCGCTTGTGTCGCAGCTATTTCCAAGGTCCGTCGCCATGATGCTGTCCAGAAGCTTTTGCAGCTCCTCCGAGTCTTCGAAGCTCGAGTTGGCTTCCGTCGAGACCAGACTCGCCTTGCTCGTCAGCCGGACACGAGTTCGCCCTCCCAGATAAGAAGCCGATCGTCGCGGCAAGTGGATCTCGTCTGCCTCTGCGATGCCGTACAAATCTCGCGGGCTCGTTGGGTCCGCAAGACCGCCCGTCTTGAACGGCGAGGAATTTGAGATGAGCGATCCCGAGCTCCCGTTGAATGTCTTGACCAGGTAGGAAAGCGTGTCTGTAGCCTCGCTCATCTCTAGGAATCCGGGTCTTGCCGCCGGCAGAGCCGCCTCGATCTTGCTGCGGATCGCCACGAGGTCTAGCCGTTTCGCGTTGGCGGGAGCTTCGTCCACCCACTCCTGCTCTTCTTCCTGCTCCGAGTTGGCGCTGAAGCTCGACGACGGCTTGCGATGCAGCTCTCGTTCCGCTTGTCGGTGTCGTGCGGGCGAGTACTTGGGAACAAGCACCACTTTCGAAGGGCTTCGCACATATACCCCGCGCGATGGTGAACCGGACGAGATTTGGGGCGAGAGCATCCTTCGCAAACCTGGCGTTCCAGGCGGCGTCTCGCCGAAGAGGATCGAAGTTCCCACCGATCGGATACTTCCTGCTCTTTCTCTGGAGCCGGGTGAGCAAGAGCGCTGGCCGTAGGAGCGGCGCGATACGATCACCTTGCCCGATGGTGACGAGACGCTCGAGCTCTGCGAGCTGATCGTGCTCGCGCGCCTTCGACCGCCGCGCGGTGGAATGGGCAGCGACTGTCCCAGCAAGGATGCTGGTGGCCTTCGACAGGCCGAGTCTTCTATATCCACCACTCGACTCGATCCGTACATCGGCATGTGTACGGGGTCTTCTGCAGCTGTCAACGACAGCTTGGGCACCGCACCCTTGGCGTCTTTGGTCCCTTTCGCTACGCTCCGTGTCTGATCCTGCATAAGGCTTGGCTCCGTGTTGGCGTCTGCTTGGGCTGCAAGATTGTTGCTTAGGTGGAGCTGCTTCATCCACGGATGGCGATTGTTCGAGATCCTTGGCGCGAGCAGCGGTGCACTCACCGTCGTGCGCTCCAAAGGACGAGGCTGTGCCGCTGAGGCTGGCACTTGCCGGACGAACGCTTCTGGAATATTAGGTCGACGCTTGTACACGGCAGTACCAGTCGAGAGGATGGGCACGACTTTGGACGGAAGCTCGATCCGATCTATAAACGCATCCAGGAGAGGTAGAGGGTGCTCGAAGGTCAGCTCGAGTCGCTGAGTTTGGGAGCGGGAATGCCAACTTACCCTGGTCCAAGCTGCGGCTTGGGTTAGCATACGGGCAGACTCGCGGAGAGGCCTTGGACAGCAAGTCCTCGCTGCGTCTGAGCGCAAATGCTGGAGCAGTGCATTGCGAAGTAGGCGGTTGGAAGCTGGCTTCATCCTGCGAGCTGCGCGGCCACCACGATACATCCATCTCTCGCATCTTTCTTCCGAAAGCGTGGAAGGGCCGCCGAGCCAGCAGCTGGAGCGTTTTGAGCTTCGAAGGGGCCGGCGGTGGGGGGTTGCTCCACGTCTTGCTCGTCTGGTCGCGCTCCGTGATACCGCCGCCCAAGAGACTGACATCCTCTTCGGGAATCTCGTGAGTGATTGAATGCGTGGACTCGGCGTCGGTGCGTGCATTCACCGTTGCGCCGTTCTGATCGGAGCTGTTTGTCGCACATCTTGCGAGCACGTCTGCCGAGGCAGATCGTCCATTTTGATCGCTGACGCTCGAGCTTTTGGAACACCGGTTGCCGGGTCGAGTCGCGCAAATCGAGTCTGGCGGTGAGGTACCCACATGCAGCTGGGCTCTTTCACTGCTTCGCGAGAGAGCGCCACTTTCCGCACTACCCTCGGCATCAATCCATCCTGCATCGTCATGAGCCGCGGCTGGGCCAGGCTCCGGACCCTTTTCCACCTCTACGATGGCTGACCGAGGCACTGCAAGCCTCGGCGCCGCCGAAACCTTTCTCGTCCTCCTCGACGGCGTTCTACCGCACAAGCCATAAGGTGTCAATGATCCACCACAACGAAAGTGAAGCGGGATGGCTACTCACATCAGTCTTCGAATCGACGCGAAGCTCGCGGCACCCTTGAGTGCCTTCTTGTCGGGCGTTACTTCGTTTGAGTCCGAATTTATCTTGACCGTCGCCACCGCGTCGCCTCTTCGCGGAAGCGTGTTCTGCAACCTTCTGGCGGCGGCCCCCAAGCTATGCGACCAGTGTCCAATGGTGGTCTTGGCTTCCAATCTTGCTACGTAAGGGGGATCCTGCGACACCCTTGCCTTATTTCGCTTCGAGGGCTGGAGGGGTGACATGCTGAACTTACTTCGCAGATGGTCTGACGTCTCGTGGCGCGGAGTCTTTGGCTCTTCGTCTTGCTGCTGGGGATGGACGCCTACACTGCTGTTGAGAAAGATGGGGCTGGAGATGCGGTGTCCGCGCAGCGTGGATACGGACTCGAACGATGCGCGTGCTGGAAGTGGCGACACGGTGGGACTGCGCAGCAAGTCCAGCGATGCGGATCGCGGGTACGCGTCCACCGATGCCATGGCTGCGTGCAACGATGGACTTCTCGAAAGCATCTCTCGCCGTCTATCCATCGCATCCGATCCGGGGTGGTGGAAGAGGTAGTCGGGAGGATAAGAATGCACAGATCAGAGCCTTACCGGCGCCAGGTTGGGGAAAGGGCGGAAGGATGTGAACTTGCGAAAAAGGTACGGAGATCGAGTAGGCTCCACCGATGCGAGATGATATGAAGAGCGGGCCTCGGATCATTGGCTCGTGGGAGCCAAGACCGTGGCACTCGCGCAACTCCGCGCGCGCGGATGGAGCCGTAGGTTTAATGTGACAAGCCGGATGGCATGGCTGCCAAGACGGATTTGCGATCAAGCGGAAGCCAAAGCACGACAACATTGCGCTTTCATATGCTAGCCGCTTTGGCAGACTGTCGAAGCCAAAAAAAGCTCATGCCTGTCAAGTATCACATGAGCTTTTTGCACGTACGAGGCTTTCGACAAGGTCGCGACTGTCGTGCAGCCTCGGAGTGCATGGCGGATGCGGTGGCGGCGGATTCGGCGATGCAAGCTCATTGCGTGCGGCGGGTGACATCGAGATGCGCCGGGGATCGGTGAGAGCTCGGTGGCCGCCCCACCTTTTCGCCCACCACGCCAACGCTTATCCCGCGAGCGCCCACCTCTCGGGGCACCTCTGCACGGTGACGATAGACACTGTACTCATGCAGTCCGAAGATCTGGCTCGCTCGCAAGTAATGCAGCGCTGATCGTATCAAGACGTTTGGCAATAATCGCTTCAAGACGGTTTGCAATGATGGCATGAGATGACATTTGAAAAAGTTCTACCGTTGAATGGAGATGGTGAAGGGTCCACATTGGCCTACTTTGCAGCAGGAGGGGTTTTTTTTTTATGCGCGGGTGGGCGGATTAGGCCTGGGCGGCCTGGACCTTGTCGTTGTTGGTGGGGTGGTCGGCCTCAAAGATGTCGTAGGCGGGGACGACGAGGTCGGACTGGTCGCAGACCTTCTTGGGCGTCTGGGCGAGCGCGCCCTTCTCGAGCTGGTCGAGCTCCTCAGCCGAGAGGTCGATGAGCTTGATGTTGTTCTCGATGCGCGCCGGGGTGACGGACTTGGGGAGGGGGTTGCAGCCCCTGGCGACCTGCCACGAGATGAGCACGTTGGCACCCTGAACGCCGTGCTTCTTGGCGATCTCGTCGACGACGCTGAGCGAAGCCTGGCTGGCACCGGTGGAGCCGAGGGGGGAGTAGGCCTGGGGGAGGATGTCGTTCTTCTTGAGCCAGGCGACGAGCTCGGGCTGGGGGAAGGTGAAGCTGAGCTCGACCTGGTTGACGACGGGCTTGATGCGGCACGACTTGAGCAGCTCCTTGGTTCGGCGGATGGAGAAGTTGGAGATACCAATGTTCTTGACGATGCCCTCGTCGACGAGCTTCTCGAGCTCCTTCCAGACGCCGACAAAGTTCTCGGTGGTCTCGAGGTCGAGGAGGTGCTTTCCGGTCTTGGGGTCCTTCTTGGAGTCGCGGGGGAGCTGACCGGCGGGCACGTCCTCGGGGACAAAGGCGATGTTCCAGTGCATGAGGTAGAGGTCGAGGTACTTTACGCCGAGCTTGTCGAGGGTGTCCTGGACTGCCTGGCGGACGTGGTTGTGGTGGAACTCGAAGAGCTTGGAGGTGATCCAGATGTCTTCGCGGGGGACGCCCGAGAGACGGATGCCCTCACCGACCTCGTCCTCGTTCTGGTAGCCCCAGGCGCAGTCGATGTGGCGGTAGCCCGACTTGAGCGCGTGGCACACGGCGTCGCGCACCTCGCCCTTGGGCGACTGCCACGTGCCGAGACCCACGGACGGGATCGAGGCACCAGAGTTGAGCTTGAAGTGGGAGGCAGGCCTAATCCAACCGGAACGGCAGCATTGAGAAGAAGAGAGCGGAAGACGTCAACAACGGCCGCTACGCGAGCCAGCTGGTTTGAGCTGCGATGCTCGACTTACATTGTGAAGGATGTATCAAAAGGAAGGAGATGATGGGAGAGAAAGGCGAACGCGGCCTGTGCACAAAGCGGGGGTTATATACGCCTTCAGCTCTCTTCTCCTCAGGTGGGTTGGTTTGACCCGTGCAGGCTGGCCGCTTGGCGGCTTCCCGCTTGTTGCGATCGGCGTGAGAGCTGCGGGGGGGCGAACGAAGACGAACACCAAGGGGGAAAGACTGATGTTTGGCTGGTAGAATGCCGAGCGGCGCAAGATTACCGGCGAATGTGCACTTGCGGGCTGAGGTGCCTGATTCGCCTCGGCTGACGCAGTAAAACCGGCGACTTCTCCGCACCGTTGCGACGCGCCGAGGCCAACATTGCCGGGCCGCACAGGTGTGTCTTCGTCGGCAATCTCTCGGTGCGACCCAGCTCAGCCCTTCCCGCGCCCCGCCCGCCACACGGCCATCGCTGAATTTCGCGCTAAAAAAGGCCCGAGCGCAGACCCAACTTCCTTCTGCCACCTTCGTCCAAACACCCCACCCGCTGTCATATAAAGAGCTCTCCCACCCACACCCCTGCACACTGGGCGCGGCCATCGCTCGAACTAAGCATTGCGCATGCCAAACCAGAAAAGATACATCGAGAAACCAGTAAAGAAAAGCCTAGACATGCGCAAACTTGCCCTCCTCCTTGCGCGCCTTGGTCATGGCGGCGATGATGGCCGAACCGACGCCCGAGCCATCCTCGGCCTGGTAGGTGCGGATGTTGCGCCCCTTTTCGCCAAAGATGTCCTCGAGCGCCTGGTGCAGACGGTCTGCGAATCCTGGGTACTTGGAGTAGAGCGAGCCGTCGGCGCCGACGCCGCAACCCGAGTCGAGGTAGCCCATCTTGGTGACGAGCGCTGCGATGCCGCACGAGCTGAGGCGCGCCGAGCGCGTGCCGATGAGCTTGGCGAGCTTGCGGAAGAACTGGCGCTCCTCGATGGTGGTGTCGATGCCGAAAAAGTGCGTAAAGAGGCCCGTGACGGTGAGCAGCTCGTCGGTGGGGTCCGACTCGATGAGCGAGAGGAAGGCCGTGTCGAAGGCGTTGGTCTTTTCCAGCTTGTACGTGTTCTGGCCCAGGAAGAGCACACCTTCGTCGATGAGGTCGCAGATGCACAGGCGGAAGAGCTCGCCGAGGTAGAGGCCGGCGATCATCTTTTCGTACGACTGCTCGTGCGGCTTGTTGGAGTGGAGGTCGATGTGCTCGTCGTACTTTGTGCGGATCTCGGCCATGTGCTCGTGCTTGAACGAGTCGAATGCGCCGTACTCGCAGTTGATCGCCATGTCCTCGTCGGCGGGCAGGCCGAGGTGGTTGATCTTGGGGATGTCGCCGATGTGCTCCATGTAGGCGGCGTTGCAGCCCGTGCCAAAGATGCAGGCGATGCGCGTTTGCGGGTTGACGTAGTGCGAGGCGATGAGCGTGCCGGTGGTGTCGTTGATGATCGAGACCATCTTGATGGGCAGCTTGAACTTTTCGAGCGAGGCGCGGAACATGGCGGCACAGTCGCGACCCTCGGTGTTGGGGTTGCCGAAGCCCTTGGTCCAGCGGACGAGCTTGCCGTGGTCGATGCGGTCCTGCTCCATGGGGTAGGAGAAGGTGAATCCGAGCGCGAGTTCCTCTTCGAGGATGACGTCGCCGTTGGCGTCGCCAAAGTGGTCCTGGATGAAGGTGGCGACGCAGTCTGCGCAGAAGTCAAAGAGCTCCTGGCCCTCGGTCTGCTTCTGCTCCTCGGTGAGACGGAACTTGGACTGGGTGATCTCGAACTTGCCGGCGCCCTTGAGCACGACGTGGCAGACGCGGAGGTTGGTGCCGCCGAGGTCGAGCGCAATGTAGGAGCCGACCTCGTCGCCAGAGGGCCAGCCAAAGACGTAGGCGGGAAGCATGGGGACGGTCTGTCCGTCCTTCTGGAGGCCCTCTTCGAGCACGCCGACGAAGCGGTCGGTGATCATGCGGAGTCGCTGCGGGGTGATGGTGAAGAGCTTCTCGAAGCGTTCGTAGACCTGCTTGAGCTGCTCTTCGTGTGCGTGTGGGATGTCCTCATGCTTGTGGGTCGAGGTGTGCCAGGAGGCGATCTGTTTGGCGAGCAAAGACATGAGGGGTTGGAGGGTGAGCAAGGTGCGCTGCATGTACGAGAGGGGGTCCATGGCGTGCAATGGGATGATGATGGAATGCAACTTACGTGCGACTCGAGCTTCTCTGTTCCCGAACCACGACGCTTGCCCGTGATGGAGATGGAGCCTCTGCGGCTTCCGGTCTGGGAGGAGAAGGACATTGCGGGCGGGAAGAGCGAGCGGCTGTTTTGGCAACGAGAGAGGCAGAGGGTGGCGTCAGTTGCTAGCTGATTGATTGATTGAATCGTGGAGGGTTAGTCACTTACGCGGAGGCTGCGCTTTTCGAGAGTAGTTTTGGAGGAGATGGTGGGAGGATGAGAAGCGGCCCAAGAAGGTGTGTGGAGAGAGCCTGACTGATGCGCGCTCCGAAAAGTGACACTTGGGGCCCGTGGGCCAAGAAGCCCAGTTGGCTCCTGCGCCGTCTATCTCGGCACCGCGCCGAAAAAAACAAAGAAGCTCCAATTCTCCCCAAATTTGCCCAGAAAGATCACTCTGGCGGAGCAGCAGCAGCTGTATCTGCGTGGGTGAATCAGCACCTCGCCTCGCCTCGCCTAGCCCCGCCTGGCCCCAGCTCCAGTGCCATCTCCACTGGCAATTCTCCTGGCCGGGAGGGCCGAGCCTCGGTGGAATTTCGGTAGTCACACTTCTACTCCAGGCTGGGGCTCCCTCGCCGCTCCTCAAATCCAATCTTGCCGAGGATCGTCCCCGTTTTTTTGTTTTTCACTGCTGGCTCACTGCACCCCGCACTGCTGCTTGTAAGACAGAGATCTAGATTGGGAATCTTCCCGATGGAGTGATGTTTGGAGAAAGAATTGTACATGGAATCCAGCGACACGAAACCTAGACGGGCCAGCACAGCCAAAGTTAGTTGAGGCGCAGCTCGTGGTTGCGACGGCCGTTGACCCAGTCTGGGTTGAGCAGCGTGAGTTCCGGAGTGCCGAGCAGTGCGCGGTTGACGGCCTCCCAGCCGAGCGCCGACGAGTGGTCCTGGTTGCCTACCTCGTACTTCCACGAGCCGAATCGGCCACGGCTGTAGATGTCGTGCTTCTCGAGCGCAGGCAGCAGCGTGGCGAGCGCCGCATCACGGCCGAGCGACGGGGTGGGGTAGCCGGGCGTAAACTTGCGGTGGTAGGTCGAGACAATCTCGTCGTCGGCGTTGATGAGCTGCGTGTTGATGCAGCCCTGGATGGTCTCGGCGAGGATGGTCTGGGCGTCGACGGGCTTGAGGTGCGACTCGGACACCTCCATCATGAGCGACCAGTAGGGGCCCTCCTTGGCGTCGCTCGACGGCGTGCCCTTGGACGGGTCGGCGTACTGGAGCGTAGGCAGCTTCACGTCGGCCTGCGGGCAGTTGTAGGGCGAGTAGTTGGAGAAGATGGTGGCGCGGTAGAAGGGGCAGTCGTCCTCGGGGAAGTAGAGCCAGCACTTGTCGCCGATGCGCGGCGGCAGCTTGCCGCGGATGCCGATGCCAATGACGTGGGTCGAGGACGAGACGAGGCCCTCCTTGACGGCGGCCTTGAGCTGTGCGTGGTTCTCCTCGGCGGGCAGCTTGACATTGTCGATCAAAAAGTCGAGCTGCATGGTGGAGATGAGGTGCTTGTACTTGATGCTCGAACCGTCGGTGAGCTGCACCGTGTGGGCGGCGGCGTCGACCGAGGCGACGCGCTTGTTGAAGACGAGCTTGTCCTGGGGCAGCGTGCGCGCCACGGCCTTCCAGATGCCGCCGGTGCCGTCGCGTGCGGGGAACTTGAAGGTGGCGTTGGGGCCCCAGTTGCCGGCCACCTTCTTGTTGAGCGTGTTGGAGACGACGAGCTTGAGCGAGGGGGCGGCGACGCGCTCGCCGAGCCACTTGCACTGCATCATGGTGGTGGGGACGGCCCACACCTTGAAGTTGTAGGGGCGCATGAAGAGGTCGGCGAGGCCCTGGCCCATCATGCGCAGGATCCACTCGTCAAAGTTCTGGGGCGCCTCCTTGGCACGCACGCGCTCCTCGGCGGCGTCGATCATGCCCTCGATGCACTTGACCTGCTCCTGGACGGGCAGCACCGAAATGTTGTTCTGGTAAGGGTAGGGCACCCAGACGTTCTTGGAGCGCACGTAGGATACGCGCTGGTGCTCGTACCAGTCGTCTGCGTTGGGGAGCGCCTCGTGGATCATGTCGTCAAAGTACTGGTAGTGCGAAAAGATGACGTGGCCGCCGACGTCAAAGAGGAAGCCCTCGTCGGTGGTGTCGGTGGAGGCGAGGCCGCCTGCCTCCTTGTTGGCGTCGATGAGCAGCCATGGGCCGTGGTTCTACGCAGCAGCAGAAGCGAAGGGTCAGCACGCGAGGAGTCGAGTTGGTGTGCACGTTCGGCGACACTTACGAGCTGGTTGAGACGCTTGGCAGCACCGAGACCGGTGGGGCCTGCGCCGATCACGAGGGTCTCTACTTCGGTGGTGGACATGTTGGACAGGATTGAGAGGGGGGGGCGCGCGGGATGGAGATGGAGGTGGTGCGGAGGGAAGGGCGTGAGGTGCAGCGTGTCGATCTTTGTACGCTGGGCGAGGCGAGGCGAGGCGAGCGAGAACGAGAACGAGAACGACACCGACAGTTGAATGCGTGGGTGCGCGTGCGGTGTGCGATATGCGAGGCGGTTTGGCTGCTGTCGAGCGCGTGCGCATCTGCAGTCTTTTGCTGGCTCGCCACTGCTCTGCTCTGCTGCCGACGGCTGGTGTGCGCGTGCGCGAAGAAGAAGAAGAGGAGAAAGACAAGAGAGAGGGCGTGCGTGTGCGTGGCGGTGTTGCTCTGGCTTTGCTCTGGCTTTGCCCTGGCTTTGTGCGCTTTTCGGAATTTCGAACGGCAATTTCAGTCAGGGCACGCGCGCTGTCAATACTTGGAAATAGAAAAAGAAAAGAAAAAAAAGCAGTTTGGAATTTTTGGGCGCGCGTTCCCGACTCATTGCGGCTGCTCCGAGGTGCATGCGCTCGGGCAACGCTCGCCCGCCTTACCCTCTCTCTCTCTCTCCCTCTCTCTCCCCCTGCCTCTGCGTGCCACTCGCCGAGCCGGGTGCGTCGGCATGCCATCTCATTCCTATCGGCCGCCGTTGCTGCTGTCAGTCGATCCGATCGGCGTACTCTCTGTCTTCTTTCTTTTCATTTTGCAAGTGCACATGCACGTCGGCCACCTGCCGTCCTTCGCACGTTTCGCCGAGCCCGACTCTGCCTCTTTTCCCTGTTATTTTTCCGGTTCAGCCACAATCGACTCCCGATGTTGCCGATGGCGCCGATGTGGCGAGTCGCGTAAATGGATCGCGCGCGCGCGTTTCGCACCAGACCAACACTTTTGCCAAAAAGGCTCAGTCGGACGCAAAGGGTGGAGGAGCTTCTCGCTCACCATTCAAGCCCAACATGCTCAGCTGAGCCTCGCTTGGCTGCCATGTCGAGCCTGGCCATCTCGGACGTCCCCTGGCTCTCCAAACGCATCAAGGCATGCTGTCGACGCGCCAAGCTGTTTAGCACGCACGAGCTGCTTCTCGCGCCACCGCTCCACCTCCAACAGGCGCTTCGACTCACCCCACCGGAAGTCGAGCTGCTGCTCCTCCAGGTGGCGACCGCCGCCAAGGCTCCGACCGTATCTGTGCTCGATGCGCTCAATGGCGTTGCGCCGCCCCCGCTTGCGGATGATCTGTTCGGCGAGCACAGGGACGATTCGAGCGATTCGCACACCGACGACGAGCCGATCCACGACGATCCCAGGCTTGTGCCGCCCACCCAGGGCTACGATGGCAACTTTCCCGGCGCACACCAGTTCGTATACGACTCGGAAGACGACGATGACGACGACGACGACGACGACGACAGCAGCACCGGTCTCAACGACGATGATGCCGAATCCACGCGGCCACTCGACACGCACGACCCCACCGAGTGGCACGATTCCGAGCCGGCGCGCACTCGCGACGCACTGGTGCACGGCCGCGCACGCAACGTCTACACCACCGGCTCACTCGAGCTCGACGCGCTGCTTTCGGGCGGTCTGCGTTGCTCATTACTCACCGAGATCGTAGGCGAGAGCGCATCAGGGAAAACGCAGATCGCCATCCAGGCGTGCGCCTTTGCCGCGCTCGGCCTCTCCCCACTCGCATCCTCAACCCCACCTCCGTCCCAAGAAGGTTTCGACGACGGCGTGGGTGTATGCTACATCACCTCGAGTGGCGAGCGAGCCGCGCACAGCATCGTCGCGCGCGCGTTGCAACTCGCCACATGCGCCATTAGCAACCGCTTCCATCCAGACGCCAACGAGGACGACTTGGAGCGCGCGGTGGAGCTGGGGCGGGCGCAGCTTTTGCGCAACCTGCACGTGGCGTGCGTCGCGGATATTGAGGCTCTCGACCACGTGTTGCGGTACCAGCTTCCCGCTCTCACCTCTCGCACCGACATCGGCATCGTAGTGGTGGATAATCTACCGGCACTGTTTCAGGACGACCCTGTTGCGGGCGATATCGATTCGCTCGTACACCGTTCTCGCTGGCTCGTCGACGTTGCCGATGCACTCAAGCGCACCTCGGCGGCTGTGGTGGTGGTCAACCATGTCAGTGACGCTTTTGGCATCGACAAGGACCTGGCGCGTCGCTTCGTCTTTGATTCCGCCTCGCGCACCAGCCGCCGCACTGACGTCGTGGCTGATCATCCAGCAGCTATGGAGTACGCCGCACAGTCCGCCTACACTAGTGGACTGCTCGCCAGCGTTCCACCTACACTAGCTGCAGCCATGACCACCACCGCCGACTCCGACTCGCCACTCTACACGCTCCATCCACGCACCGCACAACTCGGACACACTTGGACCAACCTCATCCACACTCGGCTCCTTCTCACCCGCACAAACGGTCGCGTCAAAGATCCCGACGACGACCATCGATACACCCACGTACGCAAAGCTGCCGTCGTGCTCAATCCTGCCGGACCGTCCATGTTGGACCTACCCGCATCGCAGGCGCATCTGCGATTCATCATCACTCCTGCCTCGGCCGTACACGCACTCGCACCCTACACGCTGCACGAATCGTAATCTTGTATTTGCTTCAGCTACACACGCTGTGCCCAAGCCGACCTGAGATCCTGCGGCACCTGGTTCCAAACCGCCTCCCACTGGGCGCCCAGCTCGGCCTGCATCTGCTGCAACGTGCGCGCAAACCACACGTGCACGGGCGCATCCTTGAGCACCACCGCCGTCGGATCCACACGCTGCGTCTCGGAGGCAGCCAGCCGCGAAAAGGCGGCCTGGAACGTGGCGGCGGCGGTATTGTCGTCGTCGTTGGCCCACAGCTCGTCCTCGTGCGCCGCAGCCGAACTGGGCGTAAGCAGAAGCTTAATCTGCGCCGACAGCAGCACCGGCAGCACTGGCGCATGTGCCGGCTCGCGCAGCTTGGCGCTGGTCAGCAACAGCCCGAATCCCACCCCCACCACACGGCGATGCCTCTCACCCACATTGGCAAGCTCGGGGGCAAGAATGCCCTGGGCAATCTGACCAAACAGACCCGGCTGCACCGCTTCAAACGTGTCGACAATGTACTCGGGCCCCTTGGACGTCAGCGCGACCGCTGCCACGAGATGAATCGTGCCCTTGACCAGACGGTCGGTTCGACTCTGCTGCAGCCGCGTCAGCAGCAGCGTAAGCACTGCACGACGGTACTGCTCGAGCGCCTCGGCAGGTACTGCCTCGAAGAGCGTCTCGAGCAGCTCGAGTGCATGGCCCTCGTTGACGCGCGTCGCGATGAGCTTCTGATAGATGCCCAGCATGGCACCCAACTGACCCTGCGCCACGATTCGTGCTGCATCCTTGGCGAGGAACGCCCTGACGAGCCTTACGAGCGCGGGCACATTGCCGCGATTCTCCCAGCACGCCGGCGTGAGGATGGGCGGCAGCAGCGACGCATACGCCTCGGGCAACCCCGCCGCACCCGGATGCAGTTCGAGCATCTGCGACAGGATCTGAAACACGTACGGCTGAAACTCGGCGACGTCCTGGCTGAGGATCATGGTAAACGGCGGGAAGAGCTGCTGTTCAAACGCCGCCAGACTGTCGGGTTGCGCGGCGACGGTGTAGCGCACCAAGGCGGCGATGCTCTCGAAGAGGAACTGGGAGAAGCGCGGGTTGGAAGGGTTTTTGGCGATCTCGGCGAGGATCTTGGCGAGGTGGTCGAGGAGGAGGGCGTGTGCGGGCGCAATCGCCTCGCGCACCGTGGCGAGCATGCGCATCATGCACTTCATCAGATAGTCGTTCTCGGCCAGCTTCTCGGGCGTCTGTCCGCGTTCGATGTTGCGGAAGAGCGCCATGAGGATGTTCTCTGCAAACGGCTGCACGTCCTGCGGGGCGAAGAGCATCTTGCCGTCGCGCCTGAGCGCCAGGACGCGCTCGATGGTGATCGAGGCGTACGAGCACGTCACGTACTGCTCGCTCTCCAGATGCTGCACGAGCAGCGGCAGCACACCCAGGAGCTGCTCCTTGGTGAGCTGGTTGCGGAAGGTGTGCAGATACTTGATGGCGTCGACCTGGAGGATGGGGCTGGGCGAGTCGTGTGCGCTCACCTGCAGATCGGCATAGACGTTGTCCGAGAAGAACTGGACGACGTCGACGAGCTCGTTGGTGGCGGTGACGCCGTGCTGTGCGGTGGACGACTTGGATGCGATCGAGGTGAGCAGATAGATGGCGGTGTCCTTCTGCTTCCAGTTGGCGGCGGGGTCGGCGCGGTACTGGTCGAGGTACTGGACGATGTACCTCGAGACGATCGACGTGACTTGCGTCGCAAAGAACTCCATGAGTGCGCGGCAGAATTCCGAGGCTGCCTTGCGGCGCGTGTCGGCCTCCATGGAGGTCTCGAGGTCGCGACGGATGTACTCGATGGGGTTGTCCTCGAAGAGTTCTTCGTCGGCCTCGCGGATGGCGATGTTGGGGAGGATGATGGCGCTGCAGAGCTGTTCGAGGGTTTGCTGGGACTGGAACATTTCGCGCGAGCTGCCCATGCGGACGACGGTGGAGAGGAAGGCGACGGCCTTGGATACGAGCGTGTCGTACTTTTGGGAGAGGGTGCAGTCGCCGAGCATGTGCCAGATGGCCTGGACAAACGTGGGCAGCTGCGGGAAGGCGTCGAGGTAGCGCTTTGCGTAGAGCTCTGCGATCTCGCAGATGGAGCTGCGGATGTGCTGGAGGGTGCAGGGCTCGTCTGGGTCCTGGTCGAGCTCGGTGCGGGCGTGTTGGATCCAGCGGGCGAGGATGTCGGTGATGGGCTGCATGTTGTCCTCGAACTGGGGCGGCAGGTCCTGGCTGGAGAGGTCGACGAAGATCTGGAGGGCCATGTTGAGGACGTTGCCGAGCACGGGCAGTGCGGCTGGGGGGGTTGCCGGGTCGAGGAGACGCTGGTCGGTGCGCGTGAGCAGCTCGAGATGGGGCAGGGCGAACTTGGCGAGCACGTAGTTGATCTCGCTGTAGAGCGCGTCGCTACGGAAAGCGGACCTCCAGCGGTAAAAGATGGAGTGTGCGGTGCGTAGGATGCCGAGGACGAGCTGGTGGTCTTGGTCTGCGAGTTTGGGTACGAGTTGGTCCATGAGGTCGGGCCAGTGGTGCGGGAAGTCCTTGTCTGCGACGAGGGCGATGGCCTCTTCGAGCTGGGATCGTACGTTTGTCGGTGCGGGCGGAGTGCCGTGTGTGGTGGTGGTGGAGATGGCTACGAGGAGCGGGATGATGGACTGCTTGAGCGCGATCTTGTCTGCGTCGTTGACGGGTGCCGCTACGGCGGATTCTTCGGCGGATTCTTGGTCCCAGGCGGTCTTGCAGATGTTCTTGAGCTTGATGGCAGCGGCGAGACGCACCGCATCGTTGGAAGTGATGGCAGCATTCTGGATGACGGCGACGAGGATCTGGAGGAAGCCCGGTTGGGACTGCGCCCGTGTGAGTTGCTGTTCGGCGTTTTTGCGGTGAACGGGGTCGAGTGTCTGTGCGAGGATGGTGCAGACGAGCTGCAGATGCTCCTGTGACGGCGGTGCTGACGCCATGGTTGCAAATTATAAGAGGGGGAGCAAAGATGGAGGCGGGAGGAAGGAACGATGGCGGCGACCAAGCAAAGTGGGGTCCAAGCGCACTTGCCTTTTCTCCTCTCCCAGCTTCACGCTTTGTTGATTTTCCACGCCATTTCGTGCCGCGCCGAGAACAACACTTTGGCGGCGTGCAGGCCCAGCGCGTGATCGATTGAGGCCGAAAAGTGGAGAAAAGCGACCAAATATAAATAATAAATCCGGCCTTTTTTGGGGCTGCATTTTCCAGCGAAGATTAAAAAATCCAAAAAAAAAAAAAA